ATGCCTGCCTCTGCCCTGAACCCTCCAGGTCAGGGCAGAATCCCAGCCCGGGGGGCCCATCGACGCCCCAGCCCCTGACTGCTGCACTAGACCGCCCCCGGGCCAGGAGCCGGGCCTGCTCCTGGCAGTCCAGCATTGCCACGGGCCTGGAGCTGCTAACACGGTCAAAGGGCAGTGCCCCCCCCACCCCCACCCCTGGGAGGCCCGCCCTACTGGAGCTGCCTGGAAGGACTCAGAATTGGGAAAGCCTAGACCCCCAGGAAGGCCTCCAGCTCCTCCTGGCCACCTTCTCCTCCCCGTCCCCCATTCACCAGATCACACCTGTCACACCCCAGCAGATCACATGGCCTTCACACCTCAGAGTCAGCCTCCTGCTTTCCTGACCTTTGACCTCTCCTGCTCCACAACCCCCCCCCCGCCCCCACCAAATGCCAACCAGCTGCTGGGTTTAAATCCTGGCTCCCCCACTTACCAGCTGTGCAGCCTCTCAACGTGACTGTGCCCCTCCACCCTCAGCCCTGCCCTCCCACCAACCTTCCTGAAGCACGCCTGGGATCACACTCTCCCCCTCCTCAGACACCTTCCATGGCTCCCTACCGCCTGTGAACAACGCCCAAGCTCTGACCTGACACTCACACCCAGTCCACCCTCAAGCCTGCCGTGCGTTTTGCCCTCCTGCCTCCAGGCCTTTGCCCAGGCTGTTCCTTGCGCCCGGAAGTCCCTTACTGTGGAAGGAGAAGGTGAAGCCTGCGGCGCTGGGCAGGCTGGTGTTCCGGGGGCTCCACCAGGAGCTGACAGAGGTGGCGAGCAGCGGGGGGCCCTGGGCCCGGCTCTCCTCCTGGTGCTGGAAGCACAGGAGGCCAGACGCTTGGTCACTCAGCGAGAAGTTCTTCCTGCCGTATTGCAGGTGCAGTTTCCCAGCATGGCGGTTCCAGAAAAGGCAGAAGTGGTACAGGCCCCTGAGATGGGGGAGTTCTTGGGCAGCCTGGGAGTCTCCAGGGAAGGGGGCGTGGACCGTGAGGGCCTCCTGGGAGTTCTGGATGGAGATGTGCAGCTCTGCCGTCTGATTATAACGGAGGCTGCTCTTGTGCGTCTGGTTCCGCTGGCCACAGAAGCGGAAGTCTTCCCTGGGGGCCCCACCATGGGCACCTGAGGAGGCAGAGACTGCAGATGGGACTCTGGGGCAGGGGCCACCAGGGGCATGGGAGGGGGCAGGCCCTGGGCCCAGAACACAGGAGCCCAGAGCCTGGGGCCCACACACGTTTCAAGGACCTATATCTCAAAGGGTCTACAAAAATGTGAGTCTACCCTGCTCAAAAATTACTGGTCTCAAAATAAGAAGAAACTCAAAATTAATAATAAATTTCAAATGCAAAAAAAAAAAGCCTTTAATAGCAGTAAGGTATTTAACGAGGCCATGCCTGCCATAGACAGTTGTGCAGACTGTGCACTGCACAAGGATGCTCTGGCTGCAGAGGTGAGTGGGGCTGAAACCCAGTCCATGTTCCCCAAGCTGTGCACTGTGGGGCTGCATCTGCTGGAAAGAAGGGGTGCCTTTTTCCTTTCTCCAAAATACCATCCACTTGCTAAGCTGTGTCTGCTGCCCCATGCCTGCCCAAAGGGGTCATTAGTGGATTTGCTGGCAGCTGTCCTAGACACAGGAGCATTTTAACATAAGGGACAACAGCACCCACAGGAAAGCCCACCTTGAGCCAGGAGGAGCAGCCCCAGCGGGAACAGCGCTGTCTGCAGCAGCGCCCGGGCGGTCATCTTCTCCCCGAGGTCACCCTGAGAACCACCACCTGAAAGATGCTGGGAGTGTTAGCCGGCGGCCTGCCCCGCGGGGCAGCACCACCCAGACCACCCCACCACCCTGCCCCCTCCAGGCCTGGAGGAGACAAGGAAAAAGGGGGCTCTCGGCGTTCTCCTCCAGGAACCTCACGGTCATCACTCCTGACACCCAGCTCAGAGGATGCCTCCTACAGGAAGTCTTCCTCACCTCCGTCTTCAGTCAGTCCTGGCCTCCTTGGTCCCCACCCCTGGCCAGTGCCCCGTGTTAGCCTCCCCGGCGGTGCGGGGTGGTGCATTCCCACCTCAGCCAGCCAGGGAGCCCCTGAGCATCTCTGAGAAGAGGGCCTACTGCCCAGAGGTGCTGGACGAAGCCTGGGGGGTGGACGGGTGAGGGGAACACAGCGAAGCATCAGCGCAGCCCCGGCGCCCTCTACCTGCGCCGGAGGGCAAGGGCGCTTCCCGTCATGGCCTCCAGGGGGAGCCGGCTCCAGGGGCCCTGGGCAGCGGGAAAGGCCGAGGGACCTCCTGGCCTGGCGGGAACACGGTGTGGCCCAAGTGCGGGGAGGCCCAGCCCCCAGCCCCACCCCGGTGGACAGTGGGCACTTCTGACCGCCCCCCCGGCCTCTATCAGCTGAGGGCCAACTATCTGCCCGCCTGTGCCGACCCACCCCACCCCACCCCTGTATTATCCTCACTCCACCCCCGGGAAGCGGGCCCTACTCTGGGCCAATTTTACAGACCCGGAACCTGAGGGCCAAGGGTTAAATGACTTGCCCAAGATTACCCCGGAGGCCAGGGGCTTTCCCCGCCCAAGCAAGACTGTGGTGCCTGGCGGGGAACCTGCCTGCCTGGCACTGCAGAGATATGCCAGGTGGCTTGGCCCTGTCCACTGCCAGCAGGCCCTGTGACCGAGCTGGGTGCTGACAGACACAGACAGGCAGCCTCACCCTGTGGGGAACTGCATATGGCCGTGGGGACAGATGCAATCATCTGCCACAAGCCAGACGAAGGGAAGTCTGGCAGTCTGTGGGCACATGAGAAGTCTGAGTTTGAGAGAAATCAAGGAGGGCTTCCAAGAAGAGGTGGCTTTGGCACAGACTATTTGAGGGCAGCATTAAAGAGGGGCGTGGTGCAGGCAGGAGCTCATTGCCTCCTTCCTGGGCCGGGCCTTCCTTGGACTAACCTGGCCCCTGAAGCTAGAGCAAGTCTCCTATGTCCCCCCCTGTGTAATGGAACCCCACTTTCTCAGACCCCGTCAGTCCAATCATAGGTCAGTTGGGCTCGTCGTCCTGCCCTGGTGGCTTCACAGGACCCCCCTGAAGAAGGATGTGAAAGTGTTTTAGGGACTGTGGCTGTTTCCTAGGCTGTGATTTTTATGGTTTCGCTCTGTGTCCTCTCTGAGCATTTTGGCTGCTCTTGAAACTGCCTGCTGCCACCGCAGACCAGCAGAAGGAAACCCAGCATCCAGGGAGAGGAGCACGTCCCTCCTTTCCTTCTCCTTTCTACCAGTCCCTGTTGCTGTCTACTTCTGATCCCCAACCCAAATGTCACCTCCTCCAGGCTGCCCTCCTCACTGTGGCCACTGTTCCATCCTTGTGAGCTTGTAGCTCACAGATCATTTTGAAAATTTGGCCCCAATTCCCCATTTTATAGCATTTAGATTCGAGGCCCAGAGAGGCAATGACTTCCTGACATCACACAGCAAGCCAGGATGGAGCTGGCTGGAAGCTGCGTGTGGCCCGCTGACCTTCACGGTGAGCTACCACTGCCAGCAGACAAGGCGCCAGGACGGGGCAGACCATCCACTTCACAGCAGTCCTCCTGGATTGACCTTTGGGAGCCAAGGAAGCCGAGACAGGGAGTGAGCTCCCTGTCATTGAGGGGTATCAGCAAAGCTTATGAAGTGCCGTGGAAGGGATTCAGACAAAGACAAGGGGCCAACTGCACGACCCTGACACAGTGACCCTGACACCTCCTGGCTCATCCCCACTCCACGCTGGCTGTTTGAACACTCACACAACTCTGTCCCCATCGACATTCTTGGGATCTGAGGGGAGGGGCTGCCTGGCTTCCTTTATCCCGCTCTTAGTCAGTGGAGTGGACTTGGGGCCAGACTGCCTGGGTTCAAATCCCAGTTCCCCCACTCACTAGCTGTGTGTCCTTGGGCTAGTTACTCACCCTCTCTGGGCCTCACTTTCCTTATCTGTAAATAGGAATAAAAACCGAGCCTACTTCAAGGGCCATTGTGAGGATTAAATGGACTGACACCTGTAAAGGACTTAGCACAGGGCCATGCACACAGTAGGCACTGCAGGTTCAGCTAACTATCTCTGTAAACTTCCTGACAAGCTCATGCCTGCCCCTAACGCAACCCCCTGGGCCTGTCATAGGCTCCTACTCCTCCGCCTTTCCCCCACCCTCCAGGCCCCCCTCGCGGCCCCCACGGCCAGCTCACCCTCCAGAGCACCTTGCCGGGAAATTCTTGGAGCATGAAACTTCCTTTGCGGGACTGCAGGGGGAAGACTGAAGCCCCACCCGGAAAACTTCCCTCCTCGCGGCCTGGACCTGAGGCTAGCCGCAGAGCCCTCCTAAAGGGCGAGAGGGCTGGGCTGGGGACACGGAGAGGATTCCAACCCCGATCAGGCAGGGGCAGGGCACTGTCCTGCTGGGCCACTTGGCTCTACCCCCACTGCCCATCTCACCACGCCCTCCCCTGCCCCCTGTACACACACCCGCCACCCCACTCAGAGGGCGCAGCCAGCATCCATGACAGGCCTCCAGCAGGGCTGCAGAAGGCCAGCCAGGAAGGAGGGGGGTCTGCGCTCTGGAGCCTGAACCCCGGAACCAGGGGCCTATATGTGAGCCTCCACACAGACCACACAGACAGAACCTGTCCCTGGTCTCGGGAGCCGTGGACTCGCAGAGCTGGACAGGCCTCAGCCATCAGGCGCTCTTAGAACCTGCCACTGGCCCGCAGGCCAGACCCTTGTCTAACCTCACACAGCACAGGGCCAGAGCCGGGGAGTCGCCGAGAGGGGGATTCGAGAAACAGCACCATAATCACGGCAGCAGCCCCACCTACACTCTCACGTGAAATCCTCACAGCCACCCTGTGAGCCCGGCTCTACTGTTTTGCCATGTTACAGATCAGGAAACTGAGGCTGGGGAAGGGCATCTGTTCCAAGATGACCACGAGTGGAGGCAAGACACAGACCTGGGACCCACCCTAAGATCGCCCCGCAGAGCTGGAGCCAGCAAAGGTCCCAGAGATGCACGCTCCCCTGGCTTTGAGAGACCCCCAAAGAAGAAAAGAATGGGGGGCAGCCAAGACCACAGGCGGTGCAGACTTTTCCAGCCTGGGAGACAGGGCTCGAAGGCCAAGCCCCCCAGGGGAGCCCTCCCAGCTCCCCTTCCGGAGCAGCCACCCCTGACCTCGGGCCTTCCGTAAACACACACGGAGAACAGAACAGTCCGGCCCTGCTTGACACAATGGGGGCCACCATCACGGGGTCCCCAAGGATCCAGGCAGAGCGGAGGGCAGCCAGGCCTTGTCTAAGCCTGGGCTCCCCCCGCCCCTCCCAGGACCGCTGGGCCCGGGAGAAGGGCTCTAGCTCAGCGAGGCCCAGCCCTGCCCATCCTCACCGTGTGGGACCTGGGACAGGGGAAGGGGCAGGAGACCCGCAGGCTCACTTTCTCCCCCCGGGCCTGAGTCACTTCCTCTGCCGTTCCTGTGTAGCCACGAGTCACCGCTGGCCCAGTCCAGGCTCCTGGAAAACCCATTTCCTCGGAGGATGGAGGTGGAGGTTGAGCGGACGGGCCCCGGGCGGCTCGGGGGTCAGTCCTTCCCGGGCAGGCGCCTCTCCAGGAAGACGCCGGGACCGGTCCCCTCTCCTTTCCTTCTCCTTCCCCTGACGCAGTGTGAACCACAAACGCATCCACCCCGCCCCCAGACTGTCCCTCCTCCTGGAACGCCTTCTCCGTCCCGGTGACAGCCCAGCTCATCTTTTCAGACCCAGTGAAGACACTCTCTCCCCAGGAAGCGTTACCTCACTGCTCATCCCCCATCAGAATTAACCTCCGTGTTCCTGGGGGCAGGACCACAGCCCACACTCAACCCTACATGCCCCACTCCGTTCCCACAAGAGTTCATGTCAGAGGTGCCCAAACCCGCCCGTGGGTCAGAACCACCCCAGGGAGTCGGCCAAAATGCAGATTCCCAGGCCCGCACACGGAGGGTAGGACGCAGCAGGTCCGGGGTGGGGCTCGGGAGTGAGTCTGCCTGTAACGAGCGTCCCACTGACTGACGCTCCGCGGGCTTGGGAACCCCTGGGTCACAAGCCCGGGATGATACCAGTAGCCCTGTTTTACAAAGAGTCAGAGATGGGTGGGGACTGGCCCCAGGCCACTCGGCTGGTAAGTGGCAGGGCCTGGACTGGGCGAGGGCAGCGTGTCCCAGTGGCGCCCCTTCTCCACCCGGTGGCGAGGACGCGTTGTGCTCCTCTGGTTCACTGGCGTTAGCAGGGCTGGGAACCTGGAAGGGGGCTCCCAGAGGACAGCCAGGAGACGGAGGGCGTGGGTGGAGGGAGGGAGCCCAGGAGAGAGGGAGCCCCCGTGGGGCTTTGGGCACCAGCCTGGTCTTGCCTCCTGGGGGAGAGGACCCAGCTCAGCTGTCCTGCTCCAGCTGCTCTCCAGTGGGGGCAGCGGGGGGCGGGGGCAGCATCGAGCTGCTGGCTACCCCCTGAGCCCTGGGCAGAGGGCCTTAGGAAGGACAGGTTTGGCCCAGGAGAGGGACAAGGAGAGGGGTGGGCGAGCACAAAACCTTGTGAGTGTAAGCGAGTGTGTGTGCACGTGTGTGTGTGTGTGTGTGTGTGCCCTGCATGCACGTGTACACAGGGAGCAAGGGCAAGAAAGCGAAAGAAGGCTGGGAGGCGGGCAGGTTAGCTCCTGGGGGAGGAACAGGGAGGCGGCTCGGGCAGATC